ATACTCTTGGCTTCTGTGTGCACTCATACTCTTGGCTTCTGTGTGCACTCATACTCTTGGCTTCTGTGTACACTCATACTCTTGGTTTCTGTGTACACTCATACTCTGGGCTTCTGTGTACACTCATACTCTTGGTTTCTGTGTACACTCATACTCTTGGCTTCTGTGTACACTCATACTCTTGGCTTCTGTGTACACTCATACTCTTGGCTTCTGTGTACACTCATACTCTTGGCTTCTGTGTACACTCATACTCTTGGCTTCTGTGTACACTCATACTCTTGGCTTCTGTGTACACTCATACTCTTGGCTTCTGTGTACACTCATACTCTTGGCTTCTGTGTACACTCATACTCTTGGCTTCTGTGTACACTCATACTCTTGGCTTCTGTGTGCACTCATACTCTTGGCTTCTGTGTACACTCATACTCTTGGCTTCTGTGTGCACTCATACTCTTGGCTTCTGTGTGCACTCATACTCTTGGCTTCTGTGTACACTCATACTCTTGGCTTCTGTGTGCACTCATACTCTTGGCTTCTGTGTACACTCATACTCTTGGCTTCTGTGTGCACTCATACTCTTGGCTTCTGTGTACACTCATACTCTGGGCTTCTGTGTGCACTCATACTCTTGGCTTCTGTGTACACTCATACTCTGGGCTTCTGTGTGCACTCATACTCTTGGCTTCTGTGTACACTCATACTCTTGGCTTCTGTGTACACTCATACTCTGGGCTTCTGTGTGCACTCATACTCTTGGCTTCTGTGTACACTCATACTCTTGGCTTCTGTGTACACTCATACTCTGGGCTTCTGTGTGCACTCATACTCACCTCCTAACATCTCGTTTATTTTGTACTCATCCACTCATTTTCTGTCTCATTTATTATCAAAATATAGCACTTGTCTAACCTCCCTCCCTCTATCTTTTCTTTATATTCTGTCCATTACCCTCATCCCACATTATCTCCCATCTCCCGGGCCTTGCCCATCTGTAGTAGGCCTACTACTAGGCCATGTGAGACAGACAGGCCAGTCTCTAGGGATCTCTGACTAACGAGTTCATTAAATATCCTTTTGGATACAAGGCCTGCATGTGCCCAACCCACTCTTAATTAAAACTGAAAGAACGGCTTGTTGTTTCTGACATGACTTGACACTTTGTTCCAACAATGGTTTCCTAGAGCATTTCTAATTCTAGATTTGTCCAGCAGCTTTAATCTGGGATTTCAAGATTTCGAGTTCTGTCTTGGACACACCAGCTGGGAGTGAACGAACTGGGATGCATCCTTTTATTGTCTTCCCTTTACATATTTCTCTGTCTCCTGACTCACGAAATCGTAGTGACACGATTGTAAACATATACCACGGGTGGGGATTGAACTCGCGGTTAGATAGTCGTAAAACTTCAGACCGACGGGGTAGCCAGCTGGCCCAGTGGCTATCTAACGACTATCTAATCGTAATTTCAAGCCCTGCCCGTGGCATGGTATGTCTGTCTCCTGCTTGTACACCTCATTTGTATGTCCCTCATCTTGGCCTTTCGTGAGCGCAATTTTTAAGCTCTAAATCCTAGAGGAAAATAATCCTGAAGTAGGGAATTAAATATTTTTTTCCTCTTGTATATTTTCCAGTGAATTTGTACCCATTCAGTATTCTGAAGACAACTAGTGTGTTACAGTCTGAGTCAAGTCTTGTCGACAGTATTCAGAGTGGCAGTGTAACTGTCTGACTTCCATTACTTATACTTCTATATATGAATCCCTGAAGGTACAACAAGATCACAGTAAACAGGTGGTATCAAAATATGCAAAACAACCACTGTGGAAAAAATAGTGAACTTAAATAGTGAAGTTACGTGATTTCTCACATTTCTTACACTTGATGTTCACTAATTTTCACAGTGGTTGTTTGCATGTGAATCATGAAGTTTATTATCTTTGATAAATTAGACACATGTGCAACTCTTGGGTGTCTTTATTGAGGAAACGTTTCGCCTCACAGTGGCTTCATCAGTTCATACAAAGGAGAATGGTGAAGAACAGGAGGAGTTTGAGGTAATCAGTCCATCAGTCTTGAAAAGAATGCAGCATATGTGCGAAGAAGTAGCTTATATACTGTAGGCAGGAGAGGTGCAGCAGTCGTAGGTGGTGTCACATTTGACAAATGTGGAAGTAGGTCGTGCCCAAGGTCGTGCCCAAGGGTTAGGCAAGTGAGGAATTCTCTGTATTAAGATCCCAAGATGTTGCTGTGTCTGACAGTTGTACTTCAGCCACAAACTTGTAAAGTCAGTCATATTAGATCAAGAGGAAAGGGCCAGGAGCTGAGAATCGAACTCCCCTCAAGCACAAACAAGTACACATACACAAAAGAAGCAGATGAGACTTACACTAAAAGTGTCAGAACATCGAAGATAATTGAATAAAAAAAAAAGAGAATAGCTATAATGGATGAAGAATTAAGACAAAACAAAGACAATTAGTGAGCACCTTCCTCCACT